AGAAAAACCAAAAAAAAAAAAAAAAAAAAAGAAAGGGCTTTAGCACCAGATGAGTAACTGAGAGCCTCCAGCAGGCCCAGCCCAGCTTCTTGGTTCTAGGTGAGAGCTGCCTGCATCACAGGCAGCTTGGCGCTGGGGTTGAGCCTGGCTCTGGCATCCAACAGTCTTGGACTCAACTCTAGACTCTAATGCTTGCTAGCCATGAGATTTACAGTAAATTATTTAACTTTTCTGCAACTTGGCTTGCTTATCCATAAAATGGGGATGACACTGGTATCAATCTCACAGGGCTGTCAGGAAGATGAAGGATCACAGTGGCTGCACTGAGCAAGGCACCACAGCATCATCACTACGGTACCACAGTCTTCGCCACCAGTCACCCCTGACCCGGCAGCTTCACGACATTCACCGCTTTGGGGCAGATCTTGTCACTGGCTGGTGGGGCTAGGTCATAGGCAAAGACAAGGAAGTGGCAGGCCAGCTTTGTGGATCTGGGGACAGACCAGGAAACCAGGAGGAGGAAGCTTGGAGCTTGGTGCTGAGCCATGCAAACAACATGCAAAGAGGGATGAACTCCTAACCCAGCTGTGTGACCAGAGCATTCAGATCACAGCGTCCCCACCTAGGCAAATCCTCCTACTTCCCCAGCCTGTGGGGGACCACACAGCCAGAGAAAAATAAGCCCTTGGTGAGCTGTCCAGCATTGCCTCATTGACGTCCCTGGGGGGTGAGCATTAGAAACCTTGGACTATATGTGTGTGTGGTGGGGCATGGGGGAATGCACAGAAAGTAGCACACATGGGTCCATTCTGCCACTGATTTACTGACTGCTTACTATGTGCTGGGCATGGTCCTGGGTGGGAGGCATACACACTGATAATTAAACAGATAAAGCGAGATGAGTCCCAGGTGACAGGTGCTACAAAGAAATGATAGTGCTGGGTGGGGACATTGTAGAGCCCATCTGGATCTCTGGGTACTCTGAGGAAGGGAGATTTCAGCTAGAGGAGGAAGCCCCAGGAAAAGGGAGGTGAGGAGAATTCCAGAAAGAGGTGACAGCCTGTGCCACCTTCTGGGTTCAGGAATTCACTTGGAGTATGGGGCCATAGAGCTGGGCAGGCCTCAGACACGGCCTGACTTTCCGGGTCCCAGATCTCTGGCTTCTGGGGTGGCAGGCTGAGTCCAGAAAAACTTGTGCTGGTGATTCAGGACTCAGGATCCTGGGTGTTTCCATTAGTGATACTTGGATGAACCAAAGCATCCTTAGGCCCTTTCATCGCAAGAGTTACAATTTCCTTTGGACCAGGTAGAGAGACTACTTCCCAGCCAGCCTGGGAAGATTCGCAGTGCCGTGCTGCTCCCTCACTTTGGAGTGTGCCTGGCATGGATGAGTGCCCGTGGGGATTAGCACGGTGGTGGGGCTCTGCCCTCCTGCCTTCAGTGGCAGCCCAAGTACAAGACCTGCTGGAGGAGTGAGAACACCACGTGCCTCTCATGGATGACTTTGAGGCACAGGCAGCTGGCCCAGATGTCACCAGCCCACCCTCTGTCCTCACAGACTGATTCTCCCACCAACTCTACGCTAAGGCGTTGGAGGGAGTCACAGGTCTCCCTGGAGGGCCCTTCATCTCACAGAAGAGGACCATGGCAACCAGAGTGGATAAGGGGCTTGTTCATGGAAATCAGGGACAGAGCGGGGTGAGACCCACTGTACAGACTGGGCAGCCTGCCGGGTGCAGGCAGTGCCATTGTAGGCTCAGCTTGCTACCTGCTCAGCCAGCAAACAACTCAGCTCCTCCTGTGCTGCCTGGAAGCAATGGCAGGGCTGAAGGGCTGAGAGCACCAGGGCTCAGAAGATTGCGAACCAGACAGCGGACACCCGGCAGTTCTCTCCCAGGGAAATGATCATGTGGCACGCATGTGTGTTGAACCCAGAGCACAGGTTGAACTGTGCAAACTGGGTTTGAAGTCACCCCTCAGCCCAGCCCAGGATGTGGTGGACAGTTGGTCTTGCCTTGAGGCAGGCATGAACCACTTATGTGTCCCACACAGTCACAATACAAGCACAAGATACAAATGCACACTCTCAGGCAACATCACTCCTGCCACGTCTGTTTTTAAGGGTGTAAAGGTGTCAAAGCACAGTGTCCTGGGGTCACTGCTAGAAGGCTTTGAAGAGTGCCAGCAGCTGCCCCCCAGAGCCCCTCCAGGCCTGCTGCCCATGGCTTCTCCCTCCCTTCTCCCCCTTGCTCTGAGTGTATTTGGTCCAGTGGAGGCTTCCAAGGCCTTCTCCAAGGAAACACCAGTACCCTCCAGGCCCCATACCAAGTTCCCAGTGTGGCAGCCTCCCTGGCATCCTCAGGCCATCTAGAGCTTGGCCCCAGCTCTTTTTAGAGTCAGGACTTTTTGGGCACTGGGCCTGGGGAACCCAAGGGAGGCTGGCTGAGGGGCCCTCAGCTGAGCTGCTCTGAGGTCAGCCCAGCACGTGGTTGCTTAGCCTTCAGCCTGGCACGTTCTTTTCCGCCCAATGACTCAGTCATCACCAGTCACTCCCTGTGACTTGTCAGCAGAAATGTACAGCTTTGGGGAGAGGGAAGGCGGTGGGACCCCCCCTCTCCAAGATGATGCCTGTTTTCAAAAGCTTGGCAGGCTAGGCCTGGCTTCCCTCGCGTCCCGGGCATCCCACTCCTCAGCCCTGACTTGGTAAAAGGAGCCCCCATTGTGAAATTCCAGTACTACCAGGAATGCCCCCCCCAACCCCAGGGTGGTGTTGAAACATTCACAGTGGGCCTGCCCCACCTCTAAGTTCCTCTTATGAGCCAGCACAAGGGACTCAGAACCCTTCCTGGGGACCCTGAACAGCACTTGGAATTAGGGGTGGGTCTGTAGGAACCCAGGGGACTCAGGGAAGGTAGTTCTGTTTCTACCCTCTTTTCGGGTTGACATGATCCCATGGCACAGGAGGGCTCATCTGCCCCCAGGAACAGGGCTGGTAAGAGGGCTGCAGTCTGCCCTGCTCTACTTCCTTATGGCAGCTCCCACAGAGCTTCTTTTCTTGGGGGACATCTCAGTCAGTGCTAAAGGGCAGAACTGGAGGGGCCACATCTCACAGGGAGGGAGATGTGGGACTCAAGCTTCTGGCTAGGACCTTGCACTGCTTTCCTGGCATTCTGGAGTATTCCAGATCTCTGCTTTGCAGCCCTAGTCCCACAGATGGCAAGAGATCAGAAGTGGGGTACAAACAACAACAATTTAATGTAATGGTATTATAAGTGATGAATATAATCACATGGAAGGGAACAGAGAATAAAAGAACTAACCTAAATAACTTGAATGCACAGCATTTGGGGTGGATGTCTTGGTTACTTTTTTCTTGTTGCTGAGACAAAATATCTGATGTCCAAAATTAAGGAAGGAAAGGTTTATTTAGCTTACAGCTTGTGGAGGTTTCAGTCCACACTCGGCTGGCTGCAAGGCAGAGTGGCACATGGCAGAGGGCTACAGTTCATGGCAGTGGAAGACAGCAAAAGCAACAAGAGCAAAAGGGAGGAGCAGCAGGCAGAGAGGGAAGAGCAAGCCTCTTTCCCTCCTTTATACTGCATGCAAACTACCCATCCCCGAGCAGGTGTAGCACTCATATCCATAATCCCAGCATTGGACTATGGATCAATTAAAAATCTAGAATAGAATGACTGCATGAGGATTTGGGGAGACATGCAGACACAAATCATAACAGTGAATATTGCAATGCTAGAGACAAAAAGAACTACAGACAAACACTGTTTCATAACAGTCAAAGCCATACACCTGGGTGTCCTGGAGAAATGCTCCTTCTCCTCCTCCTCCCCAGTGCTCCCCCTCAACCTCACAGTAACTAATCTCTTTAGTCTCTGCTGTACCCTTGTGTTGGAAGTGAAAGTTGTTTTGCTAGGATCATAGAGGAGATTGTGCCATAAGCAGCCACGGGGAGGAGAATGGGGCAAAGAAGAGGGAGCTGGGCCTGAGAGGATAATGGGAAGGGGGAGAT